AAAGCATAAGTGTCCTTGAGTGCAACGAATTTAAATTGAGTTGCCAAGACCAAAATTGATGAGAAGTTGGCATTTTAAACAAGTTAGAAGAAACGGCAGATTTCATAACTGAAACGAACATAACAGGTGCTCTCATGATGACCACAAGGAGATTCAAGTGCTGAGGAATAGATCCTATCTTGGTGCAAAGCTCTTCAACCCGAGAGATGTTCTAGCTTCCCTGATAGCCAATATTAATTGCGCAGAACCAAGAAACAGATGAATTTCAGCTCATGTGAAACTTTCATGAAGTAATTAACAATGGGGCCAAAGACAGAACCAGAATCAAGTCATCATTAGGTCTCAGGGATGAAGTCTTCTTTTTCAATTCTCTATCACTTTTTGAAATGAATGTGCCCTATGGGTTGGATTTCTACTTCAGTATCTCAGTTGATTTGTGATTTCTTCAATGTGGGGATTCCCTCCCAGAGTATAGACCACATAGCTTCCTTCACAGCTTCCCATCCTATGCAATTCAAAGGAAAAGACCTCTGCAGCCATATAGTCCACCTCTACCGAATTCAGAATACCCCTTGAAATATCCCCAACCTGTGGCCATCCAGGCTCTTGTCTCTTCTGTAAATCCTCCAGAAAGGGTCTACTCAACATGCTAGGTGCCTTCCTCCTGAGCCAAGTTTCTTAGGTCTACAGATACAGATTTCAGGGAGTCCATGAACTTATATGGGGGGAAATTTCATCTTTATTTAATATGATTGGTTTCTTTTGTAATTGTTTATATCTTATTTTATGCATTTAAAAACATTATTCCATGGCACAGTGATAAAGCACCAGCCCTGGAGTCAGGAGGACCTGAGTTCAAATCTGACCTCAGACACCTGACACTTATTAGCTGTGTGACTCTGGGCAAGTTACATAACCCCATTGCCTAGCAAAAAAAGAAGAAAAATGAGCTAAAAACATTATTTCTAGAAGGGGGTCCATAGATTTCTCTAGATTGTCAAAGGGGTCAATGACCAAAAAAGAGTTCAGAATCCTTGCCCTAGACATCTCAATATTATGTGGGTGTGCATCCATCCATTATCCCTTGTTCTCACTACATGTGCAGGTGATCTCCTTATACACATTTCAAACCTCTTTTATGAAGCTTCTCCCACACAATCCTTTACAGGGAATATGTTGAAGCTTACTAACACCCAACATGTGTCTCCATAGCCTTGGAGTTTTGGTCTTCTGGATGTATACCCCCACCAAGGAATAGCATACTGAGTTCATTCTTTTAAATTTGTTTTTAAGCCACTTTCATTTCTGAATATATTCCTTTCCATCCTGGATTGTTCACCTGAATACCTTCCAAGTTTTACCAAATGTCTCTGATGGGTGGAAACAGTCCTTCTCTACTCCTCTTCCCCCTTTCCCACCCCTCCACCCTACCCATATCTCAGATACTCTCTACCACTGAGCTGTCTCTTGCAACAAAGATTAAAAGAGCACGAACTGCCTTCATAAAAAACAGAGTGATGACCATGCCTGATGGCATCTTACAGGAAAATAGTCTCAAAGCTGAGCCTACAGATAACATCATTAGTAATATGCTACCATAAATGATTGAACAGAGAGTGAGATGGAAAGTGAATTCAGTTTTATCAATAATTTACTCTCAGTGTTTTACCAGCATGGAGTTTCCTCACTGCCTATTATCAAAAAATTGTAAGATTCCAAGTCATTTCCCTTATGTGGGCCTTTATTTCATACTCTTTAGAATGGGGGGTGGGGTGGGATGGAGGGTTAAAGTTCTATTAAATTGTCTCTAAGGTTTCCAATGACTCTAAATAGAGTGTAGATACTCAGGCCAAATAATCAACCATCTGGGAGGCAGTGTGTTACCATGGGAAGAGCTTAGGATTTGGATTCAGGACCTGGGTTCAAAATTTAGATCTGCCACTTATTAGCTATGTGTAATTCCCTTCACCTCTTAGCCTTTTTCCTCATCTATAAAATGAAGGGCCTAGACCAGATCAATGATGTCAAACTCTAATCAAAATGGGGGCCATTAAACTACACATAAGGATCCCTACAGGCCACACATTAACTCCATAGCTAGGTATCTAAAAGGGTCAGAGGTCTTAAATCCAGAAGGCCAGAAGGCCTCTGCTGAAGTGGGCCCTCTTAATAGCCACTCTTATAATATAAAATGATGGCACAAAGACACTGTTATCTTTCCTCTTCATTACAAACTGGCTAGCATAGTAACAGGCTTGTCTCTACTTTGGGCTCCACAGGAGCACAAGACCATGAAGATGGTCTTGCTTGACTGGGAAAGCAGCTGTCATCAGATGGCAGGATGGAAGGTCAGGAGAAGTGGAAGCTGAGATAGCACCTGAGAATACTAAATGCTAAATAGGGTGAATGAAGTGGGAGGGGAGTCATCCATTGAGGTAGTTTGCAGGCTAGTGTTACAGAAATGTCAACATGAACCTTAATGAAGTTGTCACAAATAACTTGGCTGATTGGAGTCCCACCTGGGCCCCCAAATGCTCTGGCACTAAATTGGTGGGGTTAATTATATGGTGCTGATAACGCATACCCGAGATCTTAAGATCTGTGTGTCACCTATAGGAGCATGGCACAGGGAAATTCTCCTGTCACATGATGTGTCTTGTCTATATCTTCTCACCTCTGAGGGGTGAAACACCTTCTGATTTAGGTCAGAAGCTTAACCTTGTTGCCAGTGGTATCCTGGCAGCCTTATGTGACCACATTACAACCTGCTCTACAGTTTTGCTACAATCTGCCCACAAGACTAAATCAGGTTTTTTTCTGACTGGGAGAGGACTAAGGTGATTGGGTGTGGATGGCAGACCCTCCCAGCAACACTATCACCCTCAAATTGAAGCCTGAGGTGTCAAAAGCCTTTGTTAACAATTCATCCTGGCCTTTAAGAAACAAAATAACCTGTTTCAGCTTCACTTTAAACATTTAAAAATTGGATGACTTACTCAAGGCCTTGTATCGTGAGAAGCCAACCTCAAAGTTCCACTCCCTTCAGACAGACAGACATTACTCATCTGTTATTTTCTTGGATTTATCAATCAACAATCGTTTAATAAATAACTACTGTGTGCCAGATGCTGGAGAAGCTAAGACAAAATTCCCTGCCCTCAATGAGTTTACATTCAACTGGGGAGAAAGTCTGTGCAAAGACCAAGTGTCTCAAAAGTCTTAATAGATTAACAAACTTTAATAGCTTAAAACTGTATGAGACTTCTGGGATACATTGTGTAAGTATGTGTGTATGTTTATAGGCATATGTCTCTGTATGTGTGTGACACACAAATCTACAAAATAAATACATGTTAATTGGGGTAATAGAGGGGAGCAGCAGCTGCGGAGGGGAATCAGGAGAGGTTTGCATATGACAATATTAACAGGAAGACTTTTGGGAGGAATAGGGCACCACATCGGTAAAATCATTCAGGAAATCAAACTCCCATTTCTCTGGTGTTCATTTATTCAAATTCTACCCATCTTTGAAGGCCCAGCTCAAGTCCCAAGTTCTCCAGGGTTCAGAAACACCAGGAAATTTCCAAGGGAGAATGGAGTTGTCATAAAATTACAGAACTGTAGAACAGCCCTTCCTTTTAAAGATGATCCGAACGAAGGGCAGAAAGGGGAACTGAAGACCAAAGAATGAGTCAGTAGCAGAGACCGACCTAGAATCCAAGGCTTCTGACCTTGGTACCAGACACCTTTTCAAAAGAGTGTTTACAACAAAGTATATAAAAACATTGTCCAGGAATGATTTAAGTACCTGCCTGTAGGGTGGACAGTCTACCTTTCCTCCCACGATTCCTTTCATTACCAGAATTTTATGATTACTTGTGATGTCTACTGGATTATGGCAATTCAGTTAGAAAAGGTTAACTTTATATTGGTACCTCTGTTACACAGCTATTTTAAGGAAATATTGAGCATCACCATCATTAGTTTGATTAAACACTAATCTTTGACATGCAAAGACATTGCCTGCCCTCTAGAAGCTTCAAATTTGACAGATAGCACAAAGCAGCTAGAAATAGAGATGTTTAAAACAACTAAGACATTGAAGTCCAAATTCAAGTGTGCTTATTAGCAAGATGGGATGGAAGAGATTGGAATCTTGGAAGCTGAAGGCCAGAAGGAACCACTACTTTTCTACAACCCATCCAGGAATGTTCCTTAAGAAGGTGACCAAAGCACAGGTGGATTCTGAAAAGGAAGTGGAATCTTAGCGAGATCTTTTTTTTTTTTTTTGCTTTTTACCAGGCAATGGGGTGAAGTGACTTGCCCAGAGTCACACAGCTAGTAAGTGTCAAGTGTCTGAAGCCAGATTTGAACCCAGGTCCTCCTGATTCCAAGGCTGAAGCTCTATCCACTGGGCCACCTAGCTGCCCCATCTCAGTGAGATCTTGAGGACTTCCAGCGCAGCTGAAGTGAAAGGAAGAAGACCATGTCCTTGCCAAATCCTAACCTTCAAGTGCCCCAACATTCACGAGTTTTCAATTTGACAGAAAGTTCTCTTACTTGTAGCACCAAAACATGAATGGAAGGATAATGAAGAGTCTCTGACCACATGTGGTTATTTTTTTGGAGGCAGACTGGAATAGTGGATAGGTTGGTCTTGACTATCAGAGAATGCCAGGCCAGAGGGGAGATCCCAGTTTGAATTCTGATTCAGCTACCTAAAAGCTGTATAACCCTTGGCAAGTTGCTTAATCCGTCTGGGCCTCCCTTCCCTCATCTGTAGAAGGGGTTTATAAAAGTTTGTGGGGTTTACCTGAGAGGGTCATTGTGAGGTTCAAGTGAAGTAATGTTTGTAAACTTTCAACTGTTATGTGACTATCAGTCGGTACTACTGGCAGTCCTAACTCGGTCTCTCATCATCAATTATGTAATGGCCATTCCCAAATTTCTTCATTGGCTGATGTTCCAGGACCCTAAAATTATAAGCTCAGTACAACCAGTTAGAATTCTAGTTTATTATTAAATTACATAACAAAGCTTTTTCTATACAGACAGAAAATGCACATTAGATGAGAATAAAAATTAATTACAAATACAATAAAATAGGTTCCAATAAGCTATTTTAAAAGAAAAAAATAGAAAGTGCAACTGGAAAAGAATAGACGAGTTTTATATTGGCATTTTTCATGAGGAAACATCTTTCATCCTGGTGACGTATGATGGTAACTGATTCTCTCCCTCCCCTTTTAAGAGCTTAAAGAATGAAAGCAAATGCAAAGGCCCCAGTACCTGGGTGAGATAGATCTGGGGTACAGAGAAAGTCACCAAAGACCCCAAAATATGGCTCAGCTTTGTATTAATTTCTTATTCCACAAACAGTCTTGGTACGTGTCTGGCCCTTCCTTTAGTTTCACCTTCTAGAAAGATTTGAGTTTGGTGATGCACTCAATAGGACTGGCCTATGAACAAAGTTGTGCATCTTTTTAATATGAGTTCAAAGAGGCAAAACAGATTCCTGCCTCAGAGGATGGAACACAATTCTTGGAGTTCTCTGAGGAGTTACTCACTCATCAGTCACACTTGCCACAGAAGTCAATGTTACTTTAGGTCTAGCCAGAGTAACCCAAGTGTCAATATCCTCAGGGAAGGGTTAAGTGAAAATTCTTGGAGGTCATCAATTATTTGGTGGACTGTAATTATCTAACTTGTTAGTAATCTAACTTGAGGTATAACAAATAAATAAACCCAGTCTAGGCTGGACGTTCTATTCCTTTCCATTGCTGGTTGTCATAAAAAGAAAAAAAATCTAGCTAAAGAGAACTAGAGAAGTTAATGGTTGGCATGTATGATTGAGGTCCTTCAATTTTTAATATGTTGCAGAATTTGAAAATATAACAGGATTAAGCCTTCTCCTTGTCATATAAGAAACAGGTACTCCATTCATACTGCCACAAGCACAATCTTTTAATAAGATGCATTTAGTAGTATCCAATGCTAAAGAGAAAGTGGTGAATGTATCTGACCTTGAACATAAAGAAAGGAAGTGACCTCACAGGGCATTTCTTGCCATGCTGTTTTCACTTTCAGGGTTTTTCCTCCATAAACACAGCTGTAAGATCCATGGATCAACTTTCCTTACTGGGAAGGTTTTTCTTACACCCAAACCTACAAGTGAACAGGCAGAAAAGCCTTTTTCTGAGAATGCGAATATATGACGGTCAAGTAATGGAGTAGAGAGAGCACTAGCATGGGAGGTAGGTTTGGATTCAAGCCCTACCCCTTTCTGCCTGTGTGACACTGGGCAATCACCCTCTCTGACCCCCCCCCCCGCATCTACTCTCTCTATAAAATGAAAGAGTCAGACTAAATTACCTCAGAGGTCTCTTTCCGCTCTAAATCTCCAAACTCTTATCCTATGAAAAGTAAAATAATGTATTTTATAGGGAGCACTTTAACTCATTCATATATGAATGGAAAATTACCAGGACAAAAGACCAAAAGCACCTAGAGCTAATGGCTTGAATTAGGAAAGAACCAAGTAGTTTTTAATTAAACATTTTACTAAGATATCAATAAACCCAAAGGAAAAAAATGTATCTTTTGGAATTTCCTGCCTCTTTTGTTGCATGATTTCTCATCTTGACAGTGAATTAGAAAGTTCTGAGCATCTGGCTGTTAATAAGACAGAAAAAAGAAAAATTCATGGCACTAAATGTTTCTTCCCCAAAGCTTTTTTTTTGGGGGGGGGGGGTGAAGGGCAGAGAAATAGGATTTCAGAATTGGCCCTTCTCTTCTCAACAAGAATACACTTTTTCCAGGCAAAAGACATGAATTTAAAGACAAGGGTACAGGCTGCAGGGATTAGTGTGAAAATCAGAACTTCAAAGGCCTAAGGTATTGTGGACCAAATGCTACATGGGAGCAAGAACAGCACTCCTCCCTTTCTTGCTCTAATACAGGATAGGAGAAAGCATGCTGGACTAGGAGGAGTCAGGGATCTGGGCTCCAGAGCTACTTCTGCCATTGACTAGTTGGGTGATCTCAGGCAAATAACTTAGCTTCTCTGGCTTAGATGAGCACCAGGGGCCCTTGCAAACCTTACATTCTATGAGATCACAGGGGTTGGTAGCATTTTTTTGGAAGGATCTTTCTGGAGAATGTAGGGATACGTTAAACAAAGCCATTACAGAAACCCTGATGATAACGAGGATGTCTTGGCCACTGGTATCCAGCACTAGTGAAAGACACAACAGTAATAATGGATCATATGGGTTTTGGGGTGGCGGGGGGGAGGGGTCAAGGAATGTTACGAAGTAAAATTCATTAGCAATAACCACGAAAGAAACAAAGGATACCTGACAGAAATTCTATTCCTTCACATATGCATGACCCTGACTTAAAGGTTAACCAGCCAACAAAACTGATTATTTAGTTGTAGTAAGCAAGATTATTTTTCTATAATAGTTTGATTCTCATACAATTAGATTTAATGAATGCACCAAATAATCAGACCAGTAAAAAGACTGGTTATATAATTAAATAAATACCTTTATTTTATGATACTGCAGATTTTATAAATGCCAACTATAGAGTAACCAAAAGCTCTATAAACTCTAGCTGGGACACAACCACCAATTGAGGCCCTTTGAAAAAAATCAAAGATAGTAAGTGTCTGGGGAGCTCTGATCTCCCAACAGAGAGAATTTAATTAATGAATTTACTTCCCTGATCCTTCAAGCTTCATGGAGGGAAAACTAATTTTCTTTCAAATCAAGGGCATCCCCAATCAATGAAGTGATCAACCCATACATAGAAAAATAAACCCAATAATTTAAAAATATTATTATCACATCCCTGTCTAATCCAGAAGGCAATAGAACTTTGACATCAAAAAGAAAAATCTCTGCAGTCTCTGTATCATATCACACCAGTGTGTCACTCTAGACATACGCCTCTATCCAGGTCACAGGAACAATATAATCTACACACCATGAGGCGGTTCTGGCATCACATTCAAAGTTCTTTAAGTCCTTCTGGTGGAGCCCAGAGCATGAATTAGAAATTCCAATGGTTTAAAGCAGCCTTTTTTTCCCCCAGGAAAGGAACAGAGATGTTGGGCAAATCTCCACATCGCATACTACCAAGATGCGGAATTAATTGCCAGGAGGACTGATCAAGCGATTGAACTTTAAGGAACTCTAGTGGAGAGTTTCTAATTTTGTCAGTGACGGACAGAAGACAGGAGCGGATGACAACAAGATTCTGCAACATGTATGCTGAACAACAATAACATTCTGAAGGTTCAGAAACCTTGACCAGATGAGATCTTCTACATCAAGACAGACACAGGGTGACCTGGTTCCCTCACACAGCAGGAGCAAGAAGATGGCCTAGCTAATGCAGCAGAGGATGGCATGGGGGCTCTCTGACTGTTTTTGTTTACACATGACAGTTACTCAAGGTGCAGCATGCCTGACTGCAAGATGGACCATACTCTTCCTCAGGGACCAATGTATGTCAGTTCTGACTCAGGAAGGCTTGGGGCATGTGACAGTTTGAGGGACTTTTGAAAGCTGGCTGAGGTAACCTAAGTTTCTCATTTCATAGTAGGGTTGAGATTTCATTCTACTTTCAAAGCAGAAAACATTAATTCAATAAAAAAAAAAAGAAAAGAAACCAAAGTCAAAACAATGAACAACCTTTTAAAAAACCACTGTGTCTTTTTTCAAAGATTTTTAGATGACCACTAGCCCACCAAAGCATATATACCAAAAATGCTTCTATCATTGCAGTTTGCTCATGGTTAGAACAAATATTCCACTGCATTTGAATTAGGGCAACCGTCTCAGTCTTCCTTATGCTAAAGTGAGGCTGTCTCCCAAAAGTCCCCCAAATTAGACATATGTTCAACAAAACAGTTGGGTTAGTTTCTGTGCAAACTGAGTTATCTTTGAATATTAAAAAAAAAAAGACTGAAGACACAGAGTAGAAATCTACAGCACAGACAACTCAGAATGACCTGTGACTGATTACTACAAATTAAAAAAAGAAAGAAAAAAAAAGCTGCATTCATTCACAAACCACCCCGATGGCTTAAAGCTGCAATACACTGGTCACAGGCCAAAAGAATCTGGAATCTGGACTTCAGGGGACACTGGCCTACCGAAGACACTCAAGCTTCAGATGTACTTTTCTTTCAGTGAACAATCACCAGTTTCCATCATGAAGCCACTTACTTCCCTTAATATGTTTACTCACCTCATAGACAGACAGAAGGATTGAAAACTTTTCTTGGTTTGGTTTGGTTTTGAAACAAAAAGGGGGAGATAAATTTTGGTGAAAAGAGGACACAAACATTGCAGCTTCAGCCCCAACCCGGCCCAGCACCACAGCCTCTCACAGGCCCTAAATGACATGATGATGGTCAACAACTCTCCAGGTCTGTCCATGTCTCCTTCCCACTGCTCTGTAACTGGAATCAACTCAAGGAAGTGGTGGTTGTCAAGAGTCTCTAGAGAATGTCCATTAGTGGAAAGCATACAGTAACAAGAGGATGGTGCAGACGCCAACGACACCACCCAAGATGAGGGAGTCTCGACGTTTGCGCAGGTTGATCCGCTGGATTAAGCTATTCACTGCAGGAAAACGATCTGGAGGAAGGCACAGGTTAAGGTCACATGACAAGGGAGGCCTCTCTGGGAAAAGCCAAAGAGATCACGCTGACTGACAGGCGCAGAAGATCAGCAGATGGTCAGAAACACAGGTAAAGCAAAGCAAAGTGTGAAGAGCAGAGACTGCTCCCACCCTGAGGGACAAGCCCTGTGGAAATGCACGTTTTACACACCCTAGGCAGCGCTTCTCCTTCTCCCTCTGACTGCTGGAGCTGAGAAAAAGATACTTCAGGGCGGCCCAGCCCAGCCGGGCAGGAGAGCAGGGGGCAGCCAGGCTTCTCCCTCTCTCTGACCATCTTCCATCACCCTTTCTGTCTTCTCTTCCGAGACTAAAAAACTACCTGAGGGTAGGTAGAAGGAGAGGGTCTTATTTATCCTTGCATCTCCCCAAATGCTAACAGAGAGCAGGCATTTAATAAATGTAACTTAATAAATATAATATTTCTCAACAGACAGACTTCAGAATATTGTTCTGCTTTTGGAAATAAGAGGAATACCATGACACTGACTTTTAAACAATAAATTAAACATGACGTTAAATTTAAAGTGAGATGATGGGATCCACAGCTCTAGAAAATGGTGTGCTTTTTCCTCAATGAAGTGTTAATGAGTCCCTTACTGGTCAGCAGGAGTCAATGATCTTCTCTGAGTGCCTACCTTTCTAAGTAACTCAGGAGAGTAACTTAGACACTGGTGAGAAAAAGGCTTATTAATCTCACTCATTTAACGCCTTACTTTTCAATCTCTGGATGTACTTCACTCTAATTAAGACTAGAAAAGTGAGGAATAAAAAAGTCAGAAGTCACAACCAATCAGTAGTGGCATGGTAGACCAGACCATTCACCAAGGTGAACTTATACCACAGGCAGAAGAAGCCACAAACAAGCCTATGTGCACGGCTGGCTTTCTCTTAATTCTCTGTCAGTGAGTGGTTTCGTAAGGGACAAAGAAGCAAGCCGCATGCAATTTAGATAAGCATGTCAGATGAGAACATTTTTTTTACTATTCTGAAGCTTTAAAAATGCAAAATAAATGTAAGCCAGTGAATAATTTTCACATCTATCCTGCTTTCTTTCCCCTAAGCCCATTTATCCTACAGCACAATGCTCAATCACTTGTGCAATTCATCTTTTGGAGATGAGACCGATTAGCATAATCTTTCACAAAATAAGAGTGCAGTTTATATTTATACAACGTGACTGCCCAATGTCTTCAAATCCACTGATGAATGTGGCCATGCTAGAAAGGATAAACAAACACAGATGTCAAACTTTCCCAAAGGATACTGGCCAACGTGTTCATCCTGCTCTGTATAGACTTCAACATCCCTCTTTGGGACGTCATATTTTCTTTCGTTGCCATTGCGATGCTGAAAAGGGCGTGGGAGAGAGAAGAAAATTAAATCACTATTAAGGACATTCAATTCCATTAGCTGTAAAGGGAATACAAACTGATTATCACAGTATGTACTGCCTTGGAAAGTGACAGCTGAGAGGAAGCCAAACTACCTTCCTGCTGTTTTTTTTTCTCTGCTAACCCTTAAGGATCATTCTGTTCTTACTGATCTCCTTTCACACCTTGCTATGTAAAAAGAGTATCTAACATGAAAAATGAAAAGTCACAAAAACAGATAAATCAGACACTGCAAAGCCTCAAAATGTTTTGGGATAGACTGCGTGGCATAGTGTAGGACTAGGAGAATAGGAAGACCTGGGTTTGAATCCTGATTCAGACACTTAATAGCTATGTGACCCTGAGCAGGTCACTTAACCACCATACTATACCTCAGTTTGTTCCTCTATAAAATGAGAGAGTTAAATCTCATGGCCCACAAGGTTCCTTCCAGCTCTAGAGTGATGATCCTCTCAGTGCCCCCTGGTAACTCTCTAAGGTTCTAGGTTGCAAAACAGTTGCCCAACTGCACTAGAGGAAGGCGTTCCTCTAGTAGGTAATAGGAATTACCTATGCCAATAAAAATCACAGGCCTAGTCCAAAAAGAGCAGTGTTTCGTTTTGCTTTTTCAAAATGCAGGAAAGATTTTTGGGAAGTAGGGAAGAATTACTGTGCCTTATAGATAAAGCCTAAAAATGAATTTATTATTCATGATATTCTAATCTACACCTTACATATGGATTGTACTCTAAATTTTAAAGTGGGTTGTTTGGAAATGTAGATTATATTTAGGTTAATAAATAATGGTTAGCAGGGCAACTAGATGGAGCAGTGAATAGAACATCAGCCCTGAAGTCAGGAGGACCTGAGTTCAAATCCCACCTCAGACACAACACTTACTAGCTGTGTAACCCTGGGCAAGTCACTTAACCCCAACTGCCTCACCTAAACAAACAAAGGTTAGATTCCCAGGGTAGTTCACAAATGTCTATTTAACCCATACTGTGGGTTACATTTTCAATCTCTTGGCCTTGGGACCAGGGACTAAGCAAAGGTGCCTGGGTTTGGGAGCTCTCAAAGGGACCCTGGGATAGTGAGGGTGTGGGGAAAAAAAGAGCCAAGCAGGGCAGTGGGTGGGCAAAGGGCCATTCACCTGAACATTTCATTTCTAAGCCTAACATTTGTATTTCACAAAGTGCCTAGATAAGATACACATATCGAAGGTGGGGTTCTCTTTCTTACTGAGCAGTCCAATACGAGGAACGCCACTGAGCATCAATGTGCTGGAAGAAAGTTAGACCTGCTAAGTGAAACGAAGGCAAACAGTGATCCCTGACATTGTATTGGGGCACATCGTTCTCTGATACACAAGAAGTCACTGTTGCCTTCCTCCGAGGAGGTGGGCGGGGATGGGGCGCTGGGAGAACTCCCCTTGCAACACCCAAAGCTTTCTTCTTTTCATGGGTTTTCTGCCACCATTAAGAACTGTCTCCACAAACCATCTCACCATACACACCCCACCTCCTCAGCGCGCACCTAGATCTTTGGGCAGCTATAATAATGAGCCATGCCTGCATCACAGAAGGACACCACTGACTCATTAGCAGCGTGCTCTCTTAGGTATGTCTAGTCCAGCTTGGGCCTTTCTGTACTTGTCTTACTCTCCTGAAGTTCCTTCAGCCGGGAACCAGGTTCCATTTTTCTCAGTATTTTCTCAGCACACAATGTGGTGCCTTTCATATAGTACATGCCTAACAAACACTGATTTTAAATGTTTATGGGCTCGAATGTGAAAGAGAAACATGCAGGGTGTCTACAGACACATCTGAGCAGAGACCTAATGCCTAGCAGGGCAAACAGAAGGCAGGCAGGCTGTAATGTCACTTGTGTAAATGAGGTTGTCAGGGCTTTGTGGATACGCATGTGCCCTACTTCAGATTCTGAAATGATTCCATGAAAACATGATGGATACAGGGCCAGTTAGCTCCACAGGAACAATGTTGTAGATGTTATAATGAGGATAACTGGCTGAATGGCATTATAGTAACATTTCACAAATTTACTATGGGACTTTGCTATAACTTATTAATGATTATTTGTGAGAAGATCTTGGCTGGACCAGTGGAAGCAAATGAAATGCAGAGATGCACCTATCTGCCAGTATGACTGTGCGACCATGAAAGACACCACTCAATGAGACTGATACGGGCTAGAGAAGTGCTTGCTTGTTTGTGTGTGGAAGTCAAAGAAGAATTCCAAGGAGGGTATGAAAAGATAACACAATACACCTGGCCAATAATATGAAGTGAGGTGAGCTGCTCAAGAAAAACTACACGTAGTCTTTCGAGTCCTTTGAAAGGTGGTTTTTCAAATCTGGCCTCAGACACTTGACACCGACTAGCTGTGTGATCCTGGGCAAGTCACTTAACCCCGACTGCCCCTGGTGATGATAAGGGACCAGGACCACCTGCAGAGTTCCGCAAGTACAGAATTTCCACATATGGTCCATTGGGTGCTATGTTTAGGATTGCCTTTCTAAACCCTTCCTCCTCAGTGGCCCCCCCCCCCCCCCCAGGACTACAATCCTGCCTCCACTGCCTTGGGGCCTAACCAGGACCAGGTCTGAGGCAACAGTGCTGTTGGTGGGAAAGGAGGAGGGACAAGAGAAGAGAGGGAAGTGCTGCTTTGGCAGTGCATCCTACTGACTAATGACTTTGCATTCAATGTATGAACCACTCACTGCCAATGGCCCGGGTCCAGCAGCAGTCTTAGAAACATAGGGCACAGAAGATGTAGAACCTGAAGGGAGCTCAGAAGCCATCTGGACTAATCACCTTATTTTACAGATAAGGAAACTGAGGTGCCAGAAGGTGAAGTGCTTTCCCAAGATCACTTAGACAGTGAGCCCGAGGCGTGGGATTTAGACTCAGGCCCAGCTCTTTTAAGAAATGATCCCTGTGACCCTGAAGAGTGAAGAAACAACCCGGCATGCCAACCACCCATGGAGGGCCAAGGAAGGAAAGAAGGGGGGCCTGGGAAGTTTATGTTGATGTATTTTTCTCTATAATTCCTCATCCCTGACTCCCTGAAGGCCATTCTGCTGGAGACCAGGGGGCTGTCCCCAGTCTTCCTGGCATCCCAAACTAGCCCCCCATTCTGCCTTAGAAACACTGTTACACCTGGCGGTGCAGTTAAGTATCATTAGTACAAGACTGTATTTCAGATCTATTACCAAATACACAGGCTTTTATACGACCTTCTAGAATACACTGCCTGTCTGTATGGAACGCTTACTCTGAGCAAGGACACCAGGCATCTTCTAGTTTAGAAGATGCAGTTGTTCTCCCTCTTATTCCCTGCCCCTCATCGTTAAGCGAAGGTCACCCTGGGTTCATAAAGGCCATACCAAGACAATTCAAGTTCTTCTCTACTCTACAGCAAGCTGGAAAGGCTTCAAGTCTAGACCCAGTGATTAGCTAAGTTCAGGGAGGCTTACTACTAAACAGCGAGCCACCAAGCGATGGATTTTTGGGGCCACAAATAATTTTCTGTTTCTCTCAAGGCACAAATCTGTACTGGTAAAGGGAGTACCCACAGAGCCGAAATCACAAAGGCTACATACTGAGCTGCTGTGTGCACGGCACTGGGCTCATTTCAAAGCTTAGATCTCCTGACTTCCAGACAAAAATATGAGTCATGGCAACTGCATGTTCTTATCTCATTTCCAAAGGGCCCCTGACTAAGCCAATATGACTGAAGGGTAGAAGGAAAGAATGATTTCTCTTTAAGACAATAGAACTTTTATGGAATTGCTTCAATACCCTCTTTTAAAGGCTACCCTCTGAGTACTGCAGTTCACATCTCTTCAAAACAGCTCATTCTCCATATTCTCTCTTCTCTATATCTGGGTATGCAAATTCAGCCTGCTAGCTAAGAAGAGTTTTTACATTTTACAATCAGGTTTTATTGTATTTAAAAGTGTAAAAATCATTGTTGGCTTGCAGGCTGGCTGAATTTTTGGTCCTTGGGCTACAGATAACAACCTGGGGCCATGATCATGCCTATCCTGCCTCCTACCATGCCCTGCTTAGGCAGGTACTTTTAAGTAATGTTTGCTTAATGGGGGGGGAGGGGAGAGCAGCAACCTATGATCTCTGCACAGACCACAATTAATTTCAGTGCACCAGATGACAGAATTTGTAAATCTGAGGGACTGTGTTCCCAAGATTTCAAATACAATGTAGTATTCTCTATCAACGGGATGGCTAGGTGGTGCAGTGGATAGAATGCCAGGCCTGGAATCAAAGATGACTCCTCTTCCTGAGTTCAAGCTGTGTGATTCTGGGCAAGTCACTTAACCTTGTTGGCCTCATCTATAAAATGAGTTGAAGAAGGAAATGGCAAATCACTCCTGTATCTTTGCCAAGAAAACCTCAAATAGAGTCATGAAGAGTTGGACACGACTGAAAAACTAAACAACAAAAACTCTCTATAAATACACTAGTTCAGATACTTTCTTTACTAGTAGAGATAGAAGCAAAGAAAAAAAAAGATGTGAGAAAGAGTTATAAATGTATAACTTCCTTTGTGAGTTAAAGTCCAATAGAATATAGACACATTTCTGTCCAATTAGGTGTGTCCATGTCACAATTTGACACAATTAAAAATGTGCCTTTAAGCTGAATACTTCTTATGATGCCTTTCAAAGAGGTAACATTATCTATCGTAAAACAATACCTGGCTGACAAATTTAAGGTCGAACCTGAAATCAAATTTCCTTTTAGAAGTTCTTATCTATAAAACAGGGATATTGCCACCTGCACACCTTCACTCCCTCCCAAGTGGACATAGTAAAGATTCGTTTAAAAAATTCCCAGAAAGCCCTTCGCATTCCTCAGAGAACAGATACTCGTCTTACATTACGTCATCCAGTTGAATACGCATGACTTCCAGTAGTTTATAAAGTACATTCCAGTGCCTTTCTCCTTCTCACTCCATCACTTGAAGTCAAGCTGAGTCAAATCTACACTGCGATTGCATTTTCAAAGGTTAGAAGCAGACAAAATATAAACTCCAAATAGTGCAAATCATTGATGTGCTTATGAGAACTCCTTATACTTGCTACCTTGTCATTAGTTTTTACTTTTCAATTTGAGCTAAAAAATCAAGTTATTATTTATGGTTTTATCCTGGGAGGATTCTGCAGTGAGAGCTGAGAATCAAGTCCAATGTTAAGTGATAGCAGCTCTTTCTAACCCATTGATAGTGGAATTCAGCTTTAGTTCAACATATGCGTTACAGAGGTAACGATTAGGATAAAGAAACACCCAAAAGAAAAACAGACTTTATTCTATTTTTTAGGAATCATTAACATGTGATAATTGGTTAGGTCCTACATATTATATACATACACACACTCCTATCTAGGTTCATACTGCAATTACCTTGCTGATAGGAGAAATATTTTTAAAACTATGCTAAATAAATTTGTTTTTTAATTAGAAAAAAAATTAGAAAATTAGAAAAAAATAACATCAAGGGTTCCCACATTTTCATAGGATCGTAAGAGTTGGAAGGCCTTAGAGGCCACCTAAACTGTCCCAATCCTTTTACAGATGAGAAATCTGAGGCCCCGAAAGATGAAATAATTTGCCTAACATCCTAGAAGTGGTGTGAGCTCAGTCTCTCTGACTCCCAATCCAGTATTCTTCCCACTTAGAGCTCAATCCATCCATCAACAAGCATTTATTAAGATGGGTGGCACAAACAGGGGAGAGTGTTGTCACAAAACCCCAGAGAACAAAGAGGTTGACAGTGTCAAAATCAATCAACAGAGGTCAGATAAGACGTGGACCGAGGAAAGACCATCAACTGGGACAAATAAGTGATGAAATTGGAAGCCAGATGCAAAGGGCTGAGGAATGAGCGAAGAAGTAGAGCCAACAGGTGTAGATAGCCTTTCTGAGGTAGGATTTAAGGTACAATAGGGTCCACATAAGGATTTCTAATTATGGAGGAGAACTCTGACATGTTTTGGAGAAGTAGTGAAGGAGCCAGTACATAGGAAGAAATTAAGCACTGAAGAAGGGATAAGTGAGGGGCAATCTGCTGGAGAAGCTGGGAAAGCCTAGACAGGTACACATGGAGGGGTCACTGGCATTGGCAAGAAGGGTCATTTCATCAGTGACTAGGGTAAAGGAGGAGAGAGCGGACATCAAAGATAAAGGATTCTGAGACAGGGACCCAATTAGTGAGGAATAAAAGGGCTCTCCTTCTGCAGGGAGGGAAGGCCTTGTTTAAGTTGGACAACGTGAAATGTATGCTGTGTGTAAATATGATCACGTGACTTCTTTCAGCTCCATTCAGCAGCATGAGGAAAAGCAGAGAAGGCGGATGGTGTGAGGAATCCAGAGCTGCCCTATGGCCTGGGATGAGCAGAAGACAAAGGCAGATTGGAGAGCTGATGGTGGTGTAGAGTCGAACTAGAAGGGAGGAAAGCAAAGTCCCAAGGCTCTCCCCTTCAACCTTTTATGTCGTGCACTGCCTACCTCCATCCAGAAAGGTTGGAAGCAAGATGCTTGAGGCAGCTTAAATTCAAAAATCAGGTAGGGAGGAAAGGAAAAGGGAACACAGAGCGAAGCTTAGCCGCTCCTCATTCCAGTGCTCTGAAAAGGGAATTCTGCATAGGTGAAATGTGTTACATTGCAACTTGGGGGGGGGGAGAAGTATGGATTTTATCACCATTTTACAGATAAGGAAACTGAGGTAGAGAGCAAAGAAGTAGCAGTCAGAATTTGAATTCATGTCTTTCCATTAAATGATGGTTACTAGACGAGAGACACTAGCATTTATTCTGACTGAACTTTCCAAACTACTCTGCTTCATCACGATTTATGAAGGGGAGGGGGGAAACAAGAAGAGACAGAGAGACAGACAAACAGAGACAGAGAACGGGAGAGGGAGAAAAAGAGAGAGGGAAAGAGATAGGTAGGGAGAGCAAGAAAGAGACTGAGAATCTGGACTAAAATTTACTGAAGAGGCCAATAAGATATTCATGCAAACTGCATTGGGGGCTTTGTGAAAAAAATACACATAAGGAACTTCTGGAGTAATGCTAAACTCTTTCCTTAACCACAAGACCTTTGACAACTTCTACACTGGCTGACTGCTAACAGTTCTGCTTATTGTCAACAATTCTGTGGCTTTCTCAGATGCCTTCATTCTCCTTGACCTCTCTGCAGCCTTGAACACCTGGTCACCCTGGTGACCTCTCCTCTCTTCTGGTTTTCCTCCTCCCCAGCAGACCATTCCTCAGTCTCCTTTCCTGGATCCTCCTTCAGATCATGGCCTCTAACCACGGGTGTCCCTCGGGGTTCCATCCTGGGACCTCTTCTCTTTTCCCTCTATTCTACTTCACTTGGTGATCTCATTAGCTCCCATGAATTTAATGACCATCTCTGCTGATTTTCAAATCTACCTTTCCTGCCCCAACCTCTTTGTTACCCTCCAAGCTAGCATCTTCAAATGCCTTTTGGACATCTTGAACTGGATGCTGAGTAGACATCATAAACACACGTGTCTAAAAGAGGACTCATCATCTTTCTCCCTCCTACCTTCCCCATTACTGCGGAGGGCAACATCATCCTCCCAGTCCTTCAGACTCTCAACCGAGGAGTCATCCTGGACTCCCCACCATCTCTTACAACCCATGTCCAAGCTGTTGCCAAGGCCAGTGAATGTCACTGTTATGGCATCTCTCATCTACAGCCCCTTCTCTCCTCTAACACTGCCCTATCCTGTGCAGGTCCTCATCACCTCACATCTGGACTACTTGCAACAGCCTGCTGGTGGGCCTGCCTGCCTCCACTCTCTCCCCATTCCAGTCCATTCTCTATTCAGCCACCACGGTGACTTCACAGGTCTGATCATGTCACTCCCTTACTCAATAAAGTCTAGTGGCTCCTTATTGCCACCAAGATCCAATATAAAATCCTGTTGGACATTCAAAGTCCTTTATGACCCAGCCCCCTCCTACCTTTCCAGTCTTATACCTTGCCCCCTACCCCATGCTCACTGGCTTTCTTGTGGTCCCACAAACAAGACCCTGACTCTCCTGGCCCTAGGAATTCTTCTGGCTGCCCCCCCACCCCAAGCCTGGAATGCTCTTTCTCCTCTGTTCCCCTTGGGACCTCCTTGGCTTCCTTTAAGCCTGAAATCCCATTTTCCACAGGAAGCCTTCCTCAACCCTTCTTAATTCTTAAGTGCCTTCCTTCTTTTAATTATTTCCTATTTATCCTGTATAGAGCTTGCTTGCGTATGTTTGTCTGGTGTTGCTCCTGTTAGATGGTGAGCTCTCAGAGGGCAGGGACTGTGTTTTGCCTCTTTCGGTGTGTTTAGCAACATGCCTGACACAAAACAGCACTTAATGTTTATTGATTGACTGACTGATTTTAATTCTGGAGAACTGAAAAGTGTCAACAGCCAAATGATTTAATTATACACAACAGTCACTCAAAGAATGTATTCTTTGTATACGAAATGTATTCAGGTTTTCATGTATTCTAATTAGGTGAAAATGTACCAGATTCTAATTAATGACTGGATTAAGTTCTACCAGGTAAAGTTCCTTATGATGGAGTGTAGCCCCTAATAAATTAATATCACCCCCAAATGCTTGTCACTACACCACTGGATGAAGGGGGAGTGGGTGGGAATGAAGCAATATCACTGGCCTGGCTTCCTCACGCTGGAGCATTTGGGTCAGACAGACTGCTCAGTGCAAGGCTGCACAACTGTAATCTCTAACAGTGGGGACTTCTTGGATTATCAACAGGTATGATGACCTGAGGCTGGCCCACTTTGCCTGAAGAGGAATGCCAGGGATCTTTAGGCCTCCTGGTGCTGAGTATTTTCTCACTAGGGAAAACATGATGCTCACTAACTATCTCAGGGGCCAAAACTTGGGCCTTTAATTTAACCTTGACAGCACCTAGCACAGCACAAGACACAGGTGGGCCCTTAGAATGTGATGACAAAACATACTCAACCTGAAGTTGGACCCTAAAGACCTAAGAAGAATCCCTAAGCATGCTCCGGCCTGGACTGCCTGTGATGTTATTCAGGCAGAGTCTGCAGGTCTATGTAAGCAGCAGAAATGGTGAAGTATCTGACAGATGTTCAGATCTACTCTAGCAAGGATGCACTTACACTGCAAAACAAATGGGAAAGACTGAGACAGTTTAATACAGGTTTACCCATATTTTATTTTAATTTTTAATTTTTTAAATTGACAGCATTGCTTCATTTCTGAATATATTTCCTCCTTCTCCCAATTTAATTTGGTTAAAAAAAGCTTATTAGGCAAGCTACAGAAATGAACAAAGTTCAGTTAAGCAAAACACCTCATTTGACGACGCAAGGTAAATGAGGTTTTAATAGATATGTACTCTCTAAAACCTGCAATTTGAAAAGCTCTCTCCTTTTCATAGGAAGCAAAAACACTAATAAGTCATAAGCATCTAGGGCTTTGGTCAGTGACATTCTCTTCTCTCTGAGAAACTGAAATAAAATTTCAAGTTCTGGGAAATCGAATTAAAAAATTTATACACATTTCATTCTAATCTGCATATTAATACTGTAAAAAAATCTTCCTACCTTATTGTTTCTTCAATCAGTCGATCTGAGCTGCAAATAAAAGGAAAGCTGGATTTAGTTTTATTTATTAAAATATTTAAAAACAGAAATTCTACTGTTCTGTACAAACGAATTGAAAATTTTTATTACCATTGAAAAACAGCAATTTCTTTTCACTGAGTAAGACCTTCAGGAAAGCATTTACAAAAGATTCTGGAACCTGGAACCAGTTTACTTTGCTCCTACATATGGGCTGCTTCCCTCAGCACCTCTGGCCTTCTGGTCTTGGAATATCCAATCATCTCTAAGATCTTCTCACCTTGGAATATCTCTCCACCAAGAGAACCTCCTCTCCCATTGGTGAGTTCCTTCTAGGGCCTCTATTTTGTAGAGAGGCGCGCGCGCACGCGTGTGTGTGTGTGTGTGTGTGTGTGTGTGTGTGTGTGTGTGTGTGTG